GTACCCCGGCTTGGGCTGCTGGTCTGCCAGAGGTAAAGAGGCTTGGGTTGGGCGAACGAGCCTTTTCTACCCTCGCCCGTCCGCCGTCCTTTCTTGACGTGTTTCCCTTGCCTTCCCTTCACCCCTCCAGGTCGATTCACTTCGCTCACAGCCGGCCCGCCGCATTCCAGCGCAATCTTTGCACTTCGCCGAGTAGTCGAACTTCAACTTTGGACCTTGGACGACAGTCATAGACTGAGGAGCGACGCTTAGGTGTATACGCACTGCCAACTCTTGCGACCCCAACGAGCAGCACTGTGTAGCCCGAGTTGATTCGCGGGCATCTTGTTTCGGAGGCCGAGAGCGAGAGACAGACAGCCAGCTTCCGAGTCGGAATAAGAAAGCCAGGGAGAGACAGCCTAGCACGCCGGTCAGTCGATCGATCAGCCAGGACAGAAAGACAACTGGACAACGTTGCCTCAAAGCGGGAAAGCCGGACGGACTTGTTGGTCGACAAAAAGAGACTGTGTCTGCGTGGAAAGGTCCAGCACACACAACCCGAGTGTTGGAACCGAGAAGAGCAAGAGCAGCGTAGGAAGTTTGTAAGGGAACACACAACCATCAACTTCGAACAAAGTCCGACTTGGACATCAACTCTCTGAAGGAAGGCGACGTCCCAATCTCAGCCGTTCCTTTTTCGGATTTTCCTTTCTTTCCACATTCTTCTCCCTCCTTTTTCGGAATTTTCCCCTCAGACGCCCAACGGCATCGACTCAGCGAACAGCGCAATTTCCAGGAAAGTGCGACCCGGTCATCATCGCCCCTCCCTTCCTGCTTCCTTCCCGTCTGCACCGGCATCAATCAGCCCGGCCCCTCCCCTCCTTCCTCAGTTGGGTACCAGGGAAGAGAAAGAAAAAACAAGCAACAACCACCACCACATCCGCACCTTCTCACCAGCGCGCTCTCCGTGCGTCATTCGGCTTGTTTTGCGACAGAGCAAGAACTGCCTCAGCCTCTGCGAGTGCGACACCGACACCCTCCAGCAGCCGCAGCCGCAGCCGCAGCATCGACGGCCAGTAGCGACACACGCAAAACGAGACATAGACACCACACCTCACGCACTTCCTGCCTGTTGTCGTCGTCGTCTTCGTCGTCGTCGTCGCACCGATTCTCTGCTGCAACCCCTGTTTGCGCCCAATCAGGCTGTGCGGAAGGAACATTTCGCTCCCTAACCTCCTATCGACTCTGCGTGGTGCCACAGGGTCCCCCGTCCCGTCCCCCGTACCCCCCCGTCACCACTTCCATTTCGAGCTTCGCATTCAATTTCCATCTCGCCAGGTTACGTTTACCAGTCTCTGCACGCCTGCGACTGCCCTCGCCCTCACTCTCACCCTCATCTAGAGGGAGTGTCACACAAGATGAAGGTTCGTGATTCATCGTCCCCTCTGGTACCTGCCGCTGTACTTCTTCCTAATATTGCCTGCCACCGCCGCTGCATTGCGCTGCGCTGCGCTGCATTCCGTCTCATTCCCCCCCTTCCCCCNCATTTCAACCGCCCCCCCCCCCCCTCGTCTCCCCTCGTATGAAGCCAGATGCGCGCATATCACCATCACCACGTGTGCTTGCGATTTCCTCCACAACACATCACTGCGCGATTGACATTTTCATGCCGAAAGTTGCATTGCTCATATCGGCTCTGCGACTTTGTCACTTACTCTGCTTCCTTCTTTCCTCGTCCTCCTGACCCCGCATGCGCTCAAGCAAGATGTCTCGAGAATCGATGGCCAGAAATCGCTTTTCCGATCACCTACTAACGATGCCTCACCTACTACAGGCCCTCCGTCGCTCCATCAAGGGCGAAAAGGATAACGCCAAAATCAGCATCGCCCCCAAGTCCGCCGTTGCCATAGTCCCTCCGAAGAAGGTGTGTAAATTATCTGCCCGCTCCACCATGCTCCCCAGCGCTGGATGCCGCGCCCAACCCAACCGGGGGGCAACCAGGGGGGAAAGCTTACGACGCCCAGCTTGCTGACCATAGACCCGCCTCCAGGTTATCCGAGCCCTATACGATTATGAAGCCCAGTCCAACCAGGAATTAAGCTTCTCCCGAGGCGACTTTTTCCACGTAATCGGAAGAGAGAACGACCCCGACTGGTACGAAGCCTGCAACCCAGCCTTACCCGACGCTCGCGGTCTTGTGCCTGTCGCGTTTTTCCAGGCTTTGGGCCGTACAGAGAGAGACAGCGGCCAGTCCGACGGTGGTGGCTTGCCCCGACCCCCAACAATGTCACCGACTATTTCCAAGAACCCCGACCACGATTCCGGCTATGCCGAAGCCGCACCGCCTCCTGGTGCCATGCAATCACCTCCTGCGATGCAGCGCATGTCCAGATCTGCTGGCAAGGGATCTGGCGCAATGGTTTACGGCATCGTAATGTACGACTTTGTCGCAGAGCGCGCCGACGAACTGGAAGCGAAGGCTGGTGAAGCTATCATCGTCATCGCGCAATCTAACCCCGAGTGGTTCGTTGCCAAGCCTATCGGTCGGCTTGGTGGGCCAGGTCTTATTCCCGTGTCATTTGTCGAAATTCGCGACATGGCAACGGACAGCGCTGTTGGCAACGCGTCAGACGCCATCAAGAAGGCGGGTATTCCCAAGGTTGAGGAATGGAAGAAGATGGCTGCCGACTACAAGAACAGCAGCATTACGCTGGGCAAGTTCGACGTCGGTGGTGCGCCGCAGCAAGGTTCACTGGAGCAAGGCATGGAGCGCATGAGCATCCAGCAAGGCCAACGTCGTGGCTCTCAGCAGACCGGTAACAGTTTCGTAAGTAAAACCCAACCCATTCTCATTTGGATCAAACTGACTTGCCACGTAGCCGCAGCAACAACAGGCGAACTACCAACAGTCACGAACTTCCCAACAGGCGGCGTCGCAGCCGACTACCCCCTACACCAAATCCGCCGACCAGTTATATGCCCCGATCTCAGCCCGCATCCCCAGATATTGCTTTGCCGAGGACAAGTACTGGTTTGTCATCGAGGCTGTGCTGGAGGACGGCCGTCACTGGGAGCTCTCTCGATATTACGAGGACTTTTACGACTTCCAAATCGCGCTCCTCACCGAGTTCCCCGCAGAGGCAGGCAACACAGGAACGCAAAAGCGTACCTTGCCGTACATGCCGGGACCCGTCAACTACGTTACCGATGCCATTACCGAAGGTCGTCTACACAATTTGGATGCCTACGTTAAGAATCTCCTCGCACAACCAGCGTATATCGCAAGGTGCCCCCTCGTCAGACAGTTTTTCGCTCCTAGAGAGGGCGACTACGAGATCGACCCGAACGCACCGAACGAAGATGAGTACAGGCTATCGGGCGGCTCCCAGCCATCGTCAACGGATTCGCCGGCGGACGGTGCGTCGCGACAATCGTCGAGGAATAACCTGAATGGAAACGGCTACGCCGGGCTTTCCGCAGCGCCACAGCAAAGATCCATGGGCCAGCCAGGCATGACTCGGCAGCCATCATCGCTGTCCCAGTCTCAGCCATCAGTCTCGCCTGGTATTGCCCAAGCTCAGGCCATGAAGATTAAGCTTTACTTCAACGGTGACCTCATCGCCATCCGAGTGCCGAACGACATCTCTTTCCAGCAGCTGTACGACAAGATCTCAGACAGACTCAAGATTGCCGTCGGAGAAGAGATTCAACTGTTTTATAAGGACGACCGGACTGGAGAGAAGCCGAATCTCATGAGCGACAACGACCTCGACACTGCTCTGGAGCGAAACGACAAGCTCTTGCTCTACGTTGAGCAAGTATGATTCAGGCGCACGCGAGCTTGTGGTCCCCAATGGTTTCTGCGCCTGTCTACGAAGAAAAGCATATTCCCGACCGCCATTGCATTCTTGTTTCATGATTCCCAGCGCACGCGACGCATTGCCACACTCTGTCTTGTTACACAGGTGATGGCCGAATTTCACTTCTATATTGTTTTCTCCTAGTAGCTGGACTTGATATACATGCGACCATGACGCCAGTGGATCGACTCTCCTTCATGCGCCAGCGACTACCTTTCTCTTCTTTTACGCTTCTTTGGCCTCGGCAGGTCCCCTATTTACGATTTTCCTCGACTGATGTTGATGTTGATGACGGGAAAACAAAAAGAATTATTGATGCGGCCCCCGGGGGTCCATATGTCCAAGAGTTTCTCAAAAGACGAAAGACGGAATTGCTTCCATCATGAGGATATGGGAAATGGGGACATTGGCGGGCGTTATGTTTGGGCAAACGGCAGACTTGACTTGCCATATTTCTTCCATTTTTATCGACACGGGAGTTTGCCAAGAGCTCTTTCTCTGGTCCTTTAAGCCGTGCGGCACAGGAGAAGGCCAGAGGATAGAAGGGTTCTATTGATGATGAGCGGATGATGCGGATGAGACAGAAAGTCAGAGGATGATAGTGCAACACCAGTACTTGAGCGAGAAAGAGACGAAGATCAACCAGTTCAATGTTTGATGACCCAGAAAATGTGACGGGGTGTGTGCGCGAGTGCAATAAAATGACCAGCCTTTCCAGTCTGACAAGTAGTGAACACCAGTAAGAACCTCTCATATCAATCGTTCAAAGCAGGGAGAGCAGACAGTGAACGTGGAAAAATCTTCATTATAAGGCTATGTACGTACAGGGTAGCGAATAAAAACTCCCTTGGTGCGCCATGTCGCGCCCTGCTCCTGATCTCATGCACTCCTCATGATTCCCGTGAAATAAAGCTGCCCTTGGCGGCGAGAGAAGAAGCAGCCCGCCTCCCTTTTTTCGATGGGATAAGAAAGTCCGCAAGCTTATCAAGAGCACATGAGTCTGCTCCCATAGATAATAAAAGTACTCCAGACGATCCGAGGTCGCCGGTATTGATAATGACAAAGTTGGGTATTTCATTCGTTTCTCTTCTCTCTTCCTTTCCTTCTCCTCCGGGGAAGCTGGCTGCAATCAAACTCCCGTGCTCCACTCAAATCCTCAAATCATACCACTACGTGAGTAGACATGTGCTCCACGGCCTCCTTGATCGTCCGAAGCATCCTCTGGTTCACGCAGAACGGACACCGCAGGGGCCGCTCGTTCGCCGAGACAGGATCGTCATTCTTAATTGGCGTCAGGTTGAGCTCGGGCGTCGATGGGACGAATCGCGAGGCCGTGGAAGTGGCCCGCTGGATGGCCGGCGTCGCCAGCGCAGCAGCGGCCGTCCCCTGGGCGCGTTCACGCTGCTCGCGCTCCTCTCGTGCCGCGGCCGCGGTGGCCTCTGCTTCCGCCTCCTCCTGCTGCAGCTGGCGCAGCGCGTTCTGCAGCACAATGTCGGGGTCCTCGTCGCCGTACATGGGTGTGTCGCTCCCGGGGGGCGCGACCATGCTCGTGTCTGCGCTGTGTGGATCCGGAGGCGGGACGGCTGCTGCTGCTGCCGCCGCCGTGGTCGGGGACAGCGGGCCTGTTGAGGATGCGTTGCTGATTCTGCGCAGGACCTCGTCGCGGACGAGGGCGCAGGTCTGCAAGCTTGCCTCGACGCCTAGAGCACGCATGACGGACTCACGAATGGCGGCGGGGCTGGTCTCAGCGGAGAGCGCCATCAATCGCGGTACGCAGTCGGCAAGGTATCCGATGTCGTCGGCAGGGTTCATCCCGCCCTCGCCATGACGTCTCTGCCGCCTAATAAGCAGTCCGTACCGCTTCTTGAACCTGTGAATCCAGCCGGGGGAGAACTCGGGCGGGGTCTCGTCCTTGTAGCGTGGCAAAGCCGTGAAGATGGCTTTGGCCTTCTCCCCAAGCTCCTCGTTCGTCGGATGGCGTCCTGTGGCCTGGACCTGCTGGTACCATCTAAGCACGAGCTTCTCGACATCAGGCCAGTTGCCAAAGCGCAGCCGCGACCCGCTCAGTTGTGGGTTGTCGCCGTCGAGACGCGAATACTTTGGGCTGAGGGAGTGGGATACGGTAGACTGGGAAATATGTTGGCCGTACTGGTTATAGAACCAGTCTATACAGGCCTTATGGCTGGGCCGGATGGTCTGCGCGTTGGCCCAGCGGCGGAGGGCGCGGCGTTGGTCGAGGGTGAGGGAGTGGCGCTCTTTCGGGGTGGATACGGGGGAGTCGACGCCATCAGGGCCAGGGCCGCCGAGGGCGCTGGCATCGGGATCGGAGGAATGGAGGTCGTGGGCGGCGTCGTGCTGCGCGTCGTGCCCGTTGTGTGGGTGAGGGTCGTGGTCGGCCATTGCGACTGCGGCGGCGGACATGAGTGGCTCGGATCACGTCGCGCGCGCGAGGGCGGCGGCGACAACAACAACGACGACGAGAGGGGCGTCAAGGGCGGTCTTCGATTGGGGTCGGTGGTATTCCTGGAAAGAAAGTCGGCTTGCCAGGCGCGATGCGCGCTGCTGGCGGCGGGATGGCAGAGGCGGGAGGGCGGGATGTGATAAGGCAGAGTCGGTGCCTTTTTTTGTGATTCAATTGAAGGAATCGTTGTATCCGTAGTGAGGTTTTGGTTGGTGTGGAGGTTGTGACGGTTAAGGAGCAGGTGAGGAAGCGTCGAAAGTGAAAACTTGGTGGGTGGACGGGGGACCAAGGGGACTTAGCACCCGGAGAGAAGCGAGGCCGTGGCAGTCAGGGGCCAGGCACGGTGTAGCGCACTGTACTTAGCTTGCTGGCCAAGGTTGCATGTCGTGTCGTTATGCATCCAATGGGGAGCTGCGAAATCGCCAAAGGGGTGGCTGGCCCAAGCTCCCACCAGCAGGCCTTGTTGCATTACCCGGTGCATAACTGTACTGCTGCTGTTTCAAATGCCGTCTTCACCCGCCAAACCTGGTGCTGCTGCTGCTGCCACTGCTGTATTTCGGTCACATTGGGTGACCGAAATGCCAGCCAACTTGCAGCAATCGGGCCGCCATCGAATCTTTACTCGATGACAGCTAGGACTTGACTCGGCTGCAAGCATTCGGGGCAAACAAATAGTTGCAATAAGCCAACTCATCTATCATCGTGCTTGCTATTATTCTCATTGTCTGCCAACCCGCAGTGCTCTCTACTCAAAGGACAATCGTCATTTCTCCTCACCCGCATATTTCATGCTCATCGCGGCTCATTGTGTCGCATCCATTAATGCAAATCCCAACACCCCTCCAAATGCCGACCCAAAAGAAAACAATCAGACCAAACCGTCAAACATCCCCCGGGAACGCAACGCATAGGCCTCTCTTCTCTCACACAGACATCTTCATGGCAATCGTCTTATGCGGGTCGTAGCCCTTGACCACAAAGTCCTCCACCTTCCACCCATCAATGCTGCAACCCGCCTCCCTGTTGTTGATCTCGAGCATCGGGAATTCCCGCGGCTCCCGCTCCAGCTGCACCTTGAGCGCGTCCACATGGTCCGCGTAAACGTGCGCGTCGCCCATAACGTGCGTGAGGCTGCCAGGAACCAGGTCGCACGCGCGCGCAATCATGTGTGTCAGCAGCGCGTAGCTTGCAATGTTGAACGGCACGCCGAGCCCCATGTCGCAGGAGCGCTGGTACAGCTGGCAGTGCAGGTGTCCCTTGGGCTTCTCGTCCGTCGACGGCGCCGCGCCACGTGCCCGCGGGTACGAGACGTAGAACTGGGCAAACATGTGGCACGGCGGCAGAGCCATCTTCTTCAGGTCCGCGGGGTTCCACGCGCTGAGCAGGATGCGGCGGTCGTAGGGGTTTGTCTTGAGCTTGTGGATGACCTCGGCGAGCTGGTCGACTCCCTGGCCTTTGTAGTCCGTCTTCGCGTCGACGTATTCCGCGCCAAAGTGTCGCCATTGGAAGCCGTAGACGGGGCCGAGATCGCCGACTTCCCGGTGGGAGAGGCCGACGCTGTCGAGGAACTCGCGGGAGCCATTGCCGTCCCAGATCTTGACGCCGGCCTCGCTCAGGGCCAGGGACGACGTGTTGCCCTCGACGAACCAGAGGAGCTCGGCAATGACGGCGCGGAGGAAGACGCGTTTTGTGGTCAGGAGGGGCAGGAGGGGCTCGCCGTCCTTGTTGAGGGAGAACTTGAGCGGCGTCGGGGCGAAGATGGAGTAGGTTCCGGTGCCGGTTCTGAGTTTCTCGTCAGTGATTGTGCATTGCTGGTGGTTATGCGATGCCTTCGGACCTGTCTGGTCGGTGCTCGCCCGTCTCGAGGATCTCGCGGACGAGGTCGAGATACTGGTACTCCTCGTGGCGCTTAGCCGGTGCGCCGCCGTTCTGCTTCGTCGGGTTCTCGGGAGTGGACATGTTGGCGGATTCGACTGCAGCAGGAGCCATTGTGATGTGTATTCGTCTCTTACTGAACTTGGGAGATGGCGGTGGGATACGTCGGGTCGCTCTAAATGGAATGCCCCGTTCCAAAGACGCGTCCAGACGCGTCGAAAGTTTAAGTGCATGCGCTAGTAGTGGGGGTTGATGACTCAGCTAGGCCTCCGATAAGATAAGAAGCGCCCCAAGGTTCTGGCCTGCACCGGAACCAAGCGAGGCAAGTGGCGTCTCTCATGCGCTGGAGCTTGTTCCGTCTCTGCTGAAGTCCCGGCGAATAGCGGCTCAAGAAGACTCAGCCCAGAGCTGAGCTTTGTTTCAACGCATCTCATGAATGAGATATCGTCGGATCTTTTTTCAATTCGGTCCCTTTTCTCCTGTGCTCAGACGTAGGCCTCTGGTCCCACATTGATGAAATGGTGGCGATGCGTCCTCAATGTCTTCTTCTGTCTCCTCCCCCTCATGCACTTAGTTCCTTGAGCATTTCTTATGGGTGATGCTTCATGTTGGGAAATATGGAGTTGCTCAATTCCTCTGTATGACACCAAATCTTGAACTGCAATCTTCCGTTGTTGCATTCAACTCAAGAGCCGGTCTCTGAGGCGCGAGTGCCGGTTTCTCAGCCCTCACTGCCAACGTCATCGACCCCCTAGACCTCATCGCCTTCACCTCAAATCCCTTCCACCCTTTCTTGCTACTATTCAAGCTGCCATACTTTCTTGTTATTCAACATTGCGTTTCCAAGACGCAAAACCCCAATTCTTTGTTCAACTACACAGAGACATGAGATCTGCCCAGCTCACAGCTCCAGTTGACGATGAACATCACAATCACCGTCCCCGCGGGAACCGTCAACCACGGTGACCCCCGCCTCCTCTGCACTCCCCCAATCTGGAGCGATTTCATCATCTTCTATGCAACGAATTACTTTGTCCACGCCCTCACCCTCCCCAGCCGGCCCGGAGAATCCGTCCTCGAGACCTGCTTCACCGTCATCACGGCCCTCTTCCTCCCGAGCACCGGTTCCCTGCGCGCCGCCCGCTGGCTGCTCTCCCACGCCGGGACCGTCAGACGCGACGAACTCAGCCGGGCCACGCGGGCGGGCGCTCTCTGCATGGTCGTCGACGAAACAGAGCGCTCCAAAGTCTCCTGGATTGAGCGGTCGTTGAGGAGGATGAGATTCAACAGGGCGTCCCGAAGCTGGTTAGTATGAACCGAAAAGAATGAGGAGAAAAGAAACCGCATAAAACTCAAAAAAGACTCAAGTTTTCTGGCATCTAACTTTACAATGCATAGGTACGATACCGATACTTCCGCCCCGCCCTGGTATCGGTCTCGCTTCCGCGGGGCTGGTCGTTGGGTTCATTCTTCCCGCACCATCCACGGGACTTGCGTGCTGCCCAAGGGATTCATTCTGGTCGAGGTGCCTGTTGGAACGCCGCTGAAGCCGCCGCCGGATTCGACGGCCAACCACCTCGACCGCTCGAATATTCAGCTAGGCAGTACTTACAATATCCCCAAGGCCCTCTTCGCCTTGGGACAGGCGATATGGGGCATCACCACGGTATACCGGACCCGCGGTGATCAGCTGCAAAGGTACGGCTACGCCGCCTTTGGTGTCACCGTGGCGCCCTACGCCTTCATGTCTCTGGTCAACTTGATAGCCCTGCTCCTCACCCCGGAGTACAACTGCATCTACTTGGTACATACGCCGGACCTCGACAGGGCAAGGAGACAGGGCGGCAGGTTCTCTGGCCTTGTAGCCAGCGTCGATCTCGATAGCATCAAGGAGCCCCTGAGAACATTTTGGCCGTCCCAGGCAGCGCACGCCTCATATTTCGCCGTCACGACAGTTCTCTTACTAGCGCCCCTCGTCATCGTCGCCGCGCTCACCGGCTTCGACCCGGGCCACAGCACGATATACCAAAGAGTCTGGGTCCTCTCCTGGCTGGGATTCGGTATCGTCATGGGGCCCCTGATCAGACTCAGCACGATATTCCCGTCCGAGATACACGGCGTGTACAAGATTGGCGCGAACGATGCGATAGCGTATGCACTCGAGAACGCGACATTCATGGAGCGAGCGATAGACTGGTTGGTGACCAAGTACTTTTGGGTGGTAGAGACGTCGTTCTATTTGTACGTGGTCATTGGCGCCGGCATCCTCTTCACCCCAGCCATCGGTGGCATGGTTGTCGTCGGGCAGATGCTGGAGGAATTTGGCTTCTGTAGACGTCTTGATCGTTGAAAGATCAGATCGCTTCATTGCATCAAACTCAAAACGCATTTGTAGATATGGCGTTAGACATTCCATAATATCAAATATGTGTTCCTATTTCCCGCCTGCCCTGAGCTGGGAGAAGAAGTAGTTTCGAGGGCGACAGGAACGGGCACAACCGAAAAAAATAGAAAAACATGTAATGTATGTGACGCCTACTTAGCCAGGATCATACACCCAGATAGAAGGAATCATAAATAGAGCCTCCGATGAGTCAACTTTACTACACGCCCACCATCCTCCACACAGTCGCCAATCACAAGATCATGCTTGTCACCGCTCATCTCAGCATCTCCAAATCTGACCCTCAAACCTCCCAAGAGTCTGGACCGTTCTTCGTCCGTGAATGCTCCCCCGCCTGCAGGTACACCGAAATTGGGATTCCCTCTAGTTAGTGTACTGATGTTCAAGAGCAGTTTGGGTACCCAGACCCCAAAGTCTATCAACAGACCGGCAATGGCCGCGGTAAACAAGACAACCACAGATATGATGAGTATAACCATCCACGTGGCGTTGTACCGAAGAACGGTGATCGGCGTGAAAACAGTTGCGTTCGTCGAGGTGAAGTTGGTCGCGTGGACCGTGTTGCGATAACTCAGCATATCATCGTTTTCCGGATGCCCCAGGACAAGAGGCTCGCTTGCTATGGTGGCTAGCCAGTAGGTATTGAGAAGTTGCGCCATCCGAATCTCAAAATTCTCTCTCCCGGCGTGGATCGCTCGCGGGAGGTCGAAGACCGCCGTCGCATTTAGCCCCTTGTCCGGATCAACTATGTACGTCTGGATAATCGACGGGCTCTTCTGCCGGTTGGTGGGGTCCGTGAGGCTTTTGAACAGGTTCTGGAAGTACAAACTGGCAAGTTCATTTTCGCTCTGGCAGCTGTCGAAGAATGTGAAGTTGGCGCTCGGGTTCCTGGGCGAGACCGACGATCGTATCGCTGTGGGGGTGCAGTCGTAGCCGTCGCAGGCGATGTGAGTCTCGACGTACGTAGAGTTGATCTTGCACTTGGCATATGTTGGCTCGTCTTTTGCCGGTGACCAGTCAAAGTAATGAAAGTCGCGCGCCGACGCGGTCGGATCAATGCAGCGTCGACGGGTGCCGTTTGTTCTACCGTCTGGGTACGGCGTTGTCGACAGACCTCCCCATGAGGTGAGTGTGGTGCAGTTGAACGTTTGCCCATTGATGGGTATCGTGCAGTCCAGTCCTCCGTCAACTACTAATTTACTGGCATCTTCACTCTCTTCGAAGATGGGACAGTCCATCTTGAGGTACGAAGTTTCCAGGTTGAAGCTGGTCCTGCCTGTTCGCGAGATATTGCCGAAAGGAATGCCGATGAGTGACGACCAGATTATCGAGGCCCTGTCTTCATCGTCCAAGGTGATCCACTCGTCTGCCTTCGTGCTATGACGACCAAGCAAGGGCTCAACCATGGGGATCTTGACGTTGCCAGATGTGTCTTGGCTGGACTGCCTGACCTCCTCAGATGCCCCAAGAGCGCTGTAGACGAGAGAATTGATCGGGAGCTGCGCATTTCCTATGTTGCTGCCAATGTATTGCGCTGGAAACGAAGTGTTGACATCTAGATATGGGAGTTCGGCAAATGAGACGACGGCTTCGGGCTTCTTGAGTAAAACTCGAAGAGCGGCCTGGCCTCCCAAAGGTGAAAACGCCCAGATGAGCACCAACACGATGCTGGACCATCTGACCCTCTTCATGTCAATCATTGTCGTCACGGTACCTGTCATTGTCGTAGAACCTAGAAGACTGTCCAAGAAACCAACACGCTCCCCTCGCTGCAGCCTCCAGTGAGCGAAGCTTCTGATAGTCCGGCCTAGAACGAAGGCGAACATCAATGGTACAATAGTGGGAGCCTATCCCTATTAGACCGATGCAATGTGGTACGAAGATACTTAGATGGTCCTTACAAGTTGGTTGAATTCGAGTGTGAACCGCCACATGGCCGGTGTGTCTTGGATTTCGAGGCCATTGAAACGAAAGAGAAGACCAACGTAGACCGCAACAGTGACAGCCATCAGAATCGAAACACTGTTCATAAATATCTCCAAGTGTCGGGACATTCCGTTTTCAAGCCTTCGTGGAGGCCATTGCAGCAATTTCGACTCGTTGTCGGACTTGGAGGTTTCCCGGGTGGCCATCTCGGGTTTTGTTGGTACATTCTGATTCCTTTGAGACGCCATCATTGCTGAGGGAAAACTGCAGCGCTTCTGGCTTAAGCATGTAAGACTTGTTGGGCAGTGAAGAAGCCGTAGATCATGTTTGATTAATTTTAAATTCAAGCTTGTCCCGAGGGAATCCATTGCAGTATATATGGCAGATGTAGCCCCCATCACAATGCCTACATAGGCGCCGCAAAACCGGCCTCTTGGCAGACCCCATGTTGCTTTACAGAATATCCCCCAAAAGGCAAGGGTTGATTGACCATTGGCGATGCAGCTGAGCTTGACAGAGCCATTCGAACCAACAAGAACTGTGTAGTAGATCGTCAAGTTTTGTGGACTCATGGCAGCATCCGCACGTCGTCTAATCAGAAAACCCAAACTGTGAATGATTTGATTGGGAAATGTGACTTTACTGCGCCGCATGCGCCTTCTTAGTCTGTTTGGGAGAGGCATGGGGTTAGAGTAACCGATTGCTTGGATGCATGCGAATGCTCCCAACTTCTTGGATGGGTGAGCCTGAAAGAAATGACAGGGACGACAGGCATAGAGTCGCTCTACGTTGGAAATGAGTATGTTGCTACCCTACAAGAGTTCTGGAGACTCATTTCTCTGAGTGTTGGGGAATTGAAGTCGCCATAGTCTTTGATCTGCACAAAGGAATATGGTACTATCTGGCCCTTGACAGAAACTCTGTACGCCACCTTTTCAAACACAGTCAGCTATCTTGCTTAATGCCAATTATCTTTGGAGGATAGTTACTCACCTGCCACCTTGATCAAACCCAGCAATGAGCCACCGTTGTTCCAAATCTCGATGCCGTCACCACAGGCTGCCCAGACGTTGCCGTTTTCGCACATGAGATGTAAAGGTGAAGCTCTCCTAGCCAGAGCAAATAAACGCTTGTTCGCCAAAAAGATTGCGTCCCCTCTTTTCACAATGTCGAATGCGTAGATGCTCCTCGGTCTGTTCCTCATGTCAGTCACATTCACCACAAAAGCACCTTAGGCGTGACGCTTACTGCACTAAATCCAAACTCCCATCAGCCTTTACTCCTCCGGCATCTGCAACGTAAAGCGTCGACGACGCCTCGTCGACAGCAATCCCAGTCGGCCTCACAAAGCCATCCGCCATGGCCCTCACCTCCCTCGCCGTCTGGTCATACCGATACACCGAAGGCGGCAGCTGCGGCGGGCTCCTGAAATCCAGCTCGTGCCCGCAACACGGATCCGTAAACCACACGCCGTCGCCCGAGACGGCCGCGCTGTGGGGCGAGTTGAAGTCGCGGCCGTAGTACGTCGTGGCCACGGCTTTCGGCGGCTGCCCTGCGGGCATGTGGAACACACCTCCGGTCCCGGGATGCATCGTTCCCTGGGAGCACCAAAGAATCCCGTTGGCTGCGAGACAGCCGTTGGCCGGCATCGGCATCGCGGGCGGGGGCCGGAGCTTGGCCCACTCGGCGGTCAGGGAATCGCCGCGCGGGGATGCGGTGATTGTCACCTTGGACATGAGGATGGTTGAGGGCCTCGAGGGGTCGGTTGCCGCGAGGGGAGCGGAGGTCGTCCAGAGTTCATTGCGGGAGGGGTTGTAGACGCAGCCGCGGTGGAAGAACGCATTGCCAGTGCCTTCTGCAGATGAGAGGAGCAGGGCGTGTGTGGGCCTGGAGCCGATGATGGATTCGAGCGCAGAGTCGTATTGGATGACGGAGACGTCAGACTGAATTGAGTGTCAGCAGGTCGGTCTGTCGATGGTGTTGATTGTTCACCTTGCTGGGTTGTGAATAGCCGGGCGGTGCTTGGTTTCGGCGATCTCTGATCTAATGTAATGGAAGTAGCGTGAGTAAGACCACCAGCGGCCGGAACGGACGAGATTGTTAATCTGGCTGAGACGTGAGCTTACTTCTATCGGCGTTATCTCGGGTTTGATACCCGTCGCCTTGACTGTTGCCATCGCTATACCTACTGCCTGGTGTTTGCTTTGGTGCAGTTGGCTTTGTGCGGTTGAAGGGAGCGCAAACAGTGTGAGTGCAGACCGGGGTGGGGACGGCCGGGCCTCCATTTAGTTGGCGCCGGCGCCGTGTCGGGATTACACCCGCCACCCCGATAAACTTAACATCGGCTTTGCGGACAGGATATCATTAAGTCCGTGATAAATAGTCTCATTCGGCATGGTTGATGCATTTGTTTATAAACTCATAATCCCATATGGCTTTTGCTCCAGTGAAAGCCAACATCCTTAACTGCGTTTCAGTATGGCTACAATACTCGTTACCGGAGGAAACAGAGGCATTGGTTTTGGCATAGTCCAGGCCATAGCCGACCGGCTTCCAGATTCTACTGTCATCATCGGATGCCGTTCGACTCTGGCCGGGGATGAAGCTGTGACCAAACTCAGAGAACTCGGTGTCAAAACGAACCTGGATGTACTTCAACTAGACATCGAGGACGATGCTAGCATCACTGCCGCTGTCACAACAGTTGATCAGAAACATGGGAAGTTGGACGGCATGTCTCCCCAGAGACTTTCCTTTTGGAACTAATATACTGATCTGCTGCAGTCTTGATCAATAATGCTGCCAATTTAGAGGTTGCTAGTTCGTCAGAACTATCCGAGATTCGGTCAAAAACAAACGCTGTGTACAACAACTGCATCACGTCAAACGCGATAGTCACACAGGCTTTCCTGCCCTTGCTCCGAAAGGCCGAGTATCCACGAGTCATCATGAACTCCAGTGCTAGGGGTAGCCTCACACGCACGGCATCTAGAGAGGTGAGCGCACAGTGACTTCCACTGTTGAGGTGCGTCAGACTGACGGAAATGATAGCTCCCGCCAGTTTCACTCGTGAATTACTGCGTGGCCAAGGCTGCGCTCAACATGTTGACCTTGCACTTTCAGCTTGCTGAAGAGCAGAGGCAAGACGGGCAAAGAGTCATGTTTTGGGCCACTAGTCCCGGGCATTGCAAGACAGCCTTCAACAACTTCCGTGGGGTGAAGGATCCAATTGACGGAGCAGAGGCAATCGTGCGCTTGCTGGAGTCAGAAAAGGGGGTCACTAAGCCTGGGACGTTCTGGGAGTTCGAGCAGGGTATGTTCAGGATGGTGCCGTGGTAGATTATCGACGCCTCCTCGAATACTGCTGTCGAGGCGTGTCCGACCACATGGAACAAGGCAACATGCCCGCATCGTAGATCGTCGTATGTCTGGTCAGAAAATGTCTTTGATTCTCGTCGACCAAGGTCCGCTCTCTATGAATACACTAGGTCGCGATGGACCAATGACTCGTCCGATTGCCCGCCGTTTAGTGTTTCGCCTTCTCGTCCTTGTCGGCGCTGTCCAAGAACTTCCTGTGCATGTTATCAGCAATCGCAGGGCCTCGAAACGTTCCGGCAAAATCACGCACTTGATGAAGTCGGCCTCGTCGGAGCTGGCAGCGTTGATGGGAGGGATGGCAGTGGCCTTGTTGGCCTTGCTGCCGCCGCTGGTGCCATAGATAGCGCCGCCGAAGAGGGTGGCGAGAACACCCATGGCCAGCTGTAAGTTGGCCCATGTTAGCAGTTGTTCGGCATCTTCATGTATTGCAGGTCGGCCGAAGGCGTCGCAGGGAGCGGCGGGCGAAGTCGGAGGTGCAACGTACGTAGTGGGAGCCGATCTGGCGGCCGGCGACAGTGTACATCTGAACCATTTTGGCGGTATTAGAGGTATATTCGGACCTTCGGAGGTGAATTGGTTCGATGAGGGTGGAGTGGTGATGATTGAAACTGCAATGGCGGCTCAATGTTCGGAGCTCGAAATTCGTTCGGAAGCTGCGAAAAGTCGAATGCCTGGTATATCAGGCCACTTCAAGACGGGTCCAGTGTCTGGCGCGGCTCGGGAGAGCGGGGAGTTCAGCCACTGCTATCCCGGGTCGTCCAGCCACAGGGTGGCGCAAGCTCCCATGCACCCCAGGAAGGTGCTAACCCGCTGAAGCGAAGCCGACGTCACTTCCCGACATTGGACCAGAAGGTTGATGCCGCGGGCGTTTCCGGCGTGCGCATGGAAAAGTGGTGGTTGCCATCGCCTAGGCTCCCCTCACCCCAACCGCCGCCATCCATGCGCACTTAAGGCTGACAACACCTCCTTTTGCTTTTGAAGATTTCTGATTCAGACGAAGTATACCAACACCAGCAATCGATCACAATGTGGTGGGGTCGCAGCTCAGACAAGAAGCCCGAGGAGTCGAAAGAGGCGACCAACAACGAGAATGGCGGCAAGTCCTTCGACCCCGAAAAGCTTCCCCCGAGGCAGAAGCTGCCAAAAGCCCTGCAGAACATTATCGACAAATCCGACAAGGAGGAAAACTTCTTTGATGAATTAGTGGACGGGTAGTACGTGCCCTCGATTCCTCCCGATAGCCCTGCTGATGTCTTCTCCAGCGCACCCGAGTCTACCGAGTCCAACGTTCGTTACATGGCATACGCCACGCGCGTCCGCACCATTTTGCTGTCCGCGCACCGATACGTCGCCTACACCTCTGACATTGGCGAGTCGTTTCGCCCTGTTGCGCATCCCTATCTTGTCCGTGGCGCATATGGTATCTCATGGCTGTACATCCTAGGTGATGTCAGTTACGAAGGTTACAAGGCGTACTGGGCGAACCAGCGCATCCTGAACCCTCACCTCCAACTTACCGAGAGGCAAGCAAAGATCACGGGATTGCCGGAAGCCATCTCAGATGCTACACACCCCAGCCAGGTGGTCCCTGGTGGCAAGGTTGCGCCGTTGGACGACTACCGAACCGTCATGGTCCAGCGAGGAATCTTCCAGAGCATCGCTAGTATGGGTCTGCCGGCCTTCACGATCCACAGCGTAGTGCGCTACTCTGGCAGGGCGATGAAGAACGTCAAAAACGCTAGGGTCAGAACGTGGGGCCCTATTGGTCTTGGTCTGGCTGTCGTTCCCTTCCTGCCCAGTCTCTTTGACGAGCCTGTCGAGAACGCAGTGGAGTGGGTCTTCCACAAGGGCTTTGAGACGTATGGCGGCAAGGATGCCGTTGGTGATGCGCCTGCCACAGGCCGCGAAGACTTGTTGGCGAAGAGACCAAAGGAGAAGGAACTTTAGATTCGGCGTTAAGAGGGGTAGCATGGTATGGATTGGACCGGAACTTATTCAACTCATTGACTGGCTCGGCGCATTTGAAATCTCCCATGGTTATGGCATTGGCCCAGGTATAGCGTAGCCTCTATGGCGTGTGGTGCAACTGAGGGTATATACGGAAATAGGCTTCTATAAACACACTTCATCATTCATCATTGTCGTCAAACCTCCATCAAGTTGGGCGGCGGGCCAACTCCGCGCAACAGCACGACCGTGTTACCACTGACCAGTGAAGCCCCGACCTTTTCGTTGAATTCCAGCAACCTGCCACCCTCTACATGGAACACCCTCAGCTTGTCCCTCTCGTCCGATGACCGGTTGTTCACGTTCTCGACCTGTAACCTCCTTGCTGCCTCGTCCAGCACTCTTCCAACGACCCAGTCCTTGGAGAAGAAGAATTCTCCCTTTGGAAACTTGGCCTTGGCAGTCTCCGCCTCGGCCTCCACGTATAGATAGACTCTCTTCTCTTGCGCCAGCTTATCATCGCCCTTGGCCGTCTTCTTCAGGTTGTTCACAGCAATCAGGCGTGCTGATGCCGACGTGGGCTTTGGCTTTGGCAGTGCCCTTCCCGCCTGCTCTTTCTTCGCCGTTCCCCACGCTTTCAACTTATCAAATGCGCTTCTCGTCCGTGCGGCAACATCAATCTGCGAGCCGGGTCGGGCGCCAAGCGGCACGAGGTTCTTGCAGTCGTGGTCCTCTTTCAAACGATGCTTGAGGCAGTAGTCGCGGTTGCAGCCCGAACAGTGGACGCCGGGGACCAACGAAGTGCCGATGGTAGTCTTGCAGGGGGGCGAGGCGCAGGGCTTTTCGGAGACGTGGTCGCGCAGCTGGCGTCCGGCGCCGTAGGCGGGCTTCGCGAGCTCGGCTTGACGGCGGCGCTCGGCCCAGGCGCCCGCGTTGGCGCATTTGTGGGAGGACTCGGAGCGGTGGTCGAGGCAGAAGGTCTTTTTGCAGCTCTGGCAGAAGAAGGGGAGGAAGTCGAGCTGGTTGCAGTAGTCGTATTCGCAGTGCTTGCCCACGAGGGTCTCGTCGAAGCCGTCTTTGGAGTCGTCCATCTTGACGTAGCTCGTCTCGTCGGAATTGGATGAGGATGCCATGGTGAGCGATGACGTCTGTGTCGATTATTTATTCTTGGTAAACGGGGTGCTTGGAGCTCGTCTGGTGTACGTAGGCCTCGAACTTCGTGGCTCGAGGCTGAGCTGAGCGAGATGGCGATATGGCGACGGCGATGTTGCTGAGAAATGGCGGCGGAATGGTCTGGAAAGAGCCAGCTGGCGGGACTTGGTCAGTGTTGGTCCGTTGGTTGCCTTCAGCGGGGCAGCCACTGAGGCGGGTGAGCGCAGGCGCCAAGTACAGGGCGCGCGGCCGCTGGAAGCCTGAAATGGGCGTGGACCATAACGGTTGCCAAGGGCGGGCATGGACAGGCTGGACGCTGCAGCAGGGTATTGAGGCTGACTTCTGTGCACTTTATGATGGAATCATCCACACAGCATGGGAGTATGAATCTAGGAGCTAAAGAAACTCGGCCATTACTCTTGGATATCATCCTATCTTCATTGGCCATTTAGATCGGCTCCTTAAGACACCCACTACTTGTGTACCTGACATACAGGCAAGGTAACGGCAATAAGGAGGGGTGATCCCCGGACCCGCTTTTCAATCGGACCCGATAGAATGGATCCCGGACCCTTAAAGTGCGTCGCGCTCTTCGCGTTTCCTGCAAATCAATGACGCAGTTGCTGCCGTTTTGTCGCATCTCCCCTGCAAAGCTTCTCGAGCTCCCATCCTCGGAGCATGGCCAGCTCTCGACTTCTCATCACCACCACGCACGATGCCTCCACACGTGCCGCGCAAGCGATTGCGCGAGGAGTCGCCCGTCAAGTCAAGTCCTAAACGACAACAGGTGGCAAAGGGCAAAAGCAAGCCTGCCGCTTCGGGTGCACGCCGAAAGCCGACCCTGTACGATGACCTGGATGCTACTGCCACGCCGGAGTCATCCAAAGGTGGCCGTTCTGTTTTGGAGGTCTTGAGCGACAGCGACGAGGATAGCTCATTGACCGATCTATCCGACGGAGATTTCGAGGATGTTCCTGTTGGCGATGGACAGAAGCCGGAGGAAGCAAACGAGCCGTCCGACGATGATGATAACGACGACATCGAGTTCGAGGACGTTCCTGCTCCGAAGAACACCCTAGCAAAGGCGCCGACGGGATTCACCAACTTGCAGCTCACTCTGGATGCTGGCTTCGGCGCTACGACAGATCCCTACGGCGACAAAAAGGGGCCAACCAAGCGCGAGAAAAAGATCAGAAATGTTACGCACTGCATTCACGTGCAGTACTTGCTGTGGCACAATGCTGTGCGAAATTCTTGGCTCTGCGACCCCGAAGTTCAGGCAATCATGATGTCTCATATCCCCCCTCGTCTATGGGATGAGGTGGACCGATGGAGGAGAACCAGTGGACTGGATGCGCAACCGAAATCCAAACCAACCCTGATGAAGAAGCCCACGCCGGTGAAGAAGACCCGGGGTAAAGGCAAGGCAAAGAAGACCGAAGAAAAAGACTCGAGAGACTGGGGTGCCGCAGCAGAGAGGCTCGAAGAGGGGGCTGTTGATATGAGCCACGGTGACCCGCTGTTCCGACTTATGAAGTCGCTGGTGGCGTGGTGGAGGCAACGGTTCCGTATCACAGCACCCGGGATCCGGAAGTGGGGCTACATGCACCCTGAAAGAGTTGGCAGACTGAGAAAGGCGTGGGAGAGCGAGGATCACGACCAAGATCGGTTCGGGGAAAGGATCTGCGGCTTGGAGGAATTTCGCCGATGCGCCCAAGAATGCACAGGAAGCCGAGACGTAGGATCTCAGCTGTTCACGGCGCTTATGAGGGCCCTGGGACTCGAGGCTCGAATGGTTGCAAACTTGCAGCCGCTTGGTTTTGGATGGACGAAGGCGGAGGAAGCTGACCCTGAAAAGGACAAGGCTGGAGTCTCGACATCTAAGAGCAACGACGAGAAGAGTCAAGAAAGTGAAAAGACGAAGAAAGGCACCAAGAAAGGAACGAAAACAGCACCCAAGAAAGCGACTCCATCCAAAACGACAAGTTCGAGACGCGCAAGTCAGAAAAAGACCGTCATCGAGGTGCCTGATACAGATGATGAACTTGGGTTAGAGCATCCTGACAGCGACGACGATTCGATTGTAGAATTGGAGGTCACCCCTCGGAAATCGGCTCCATCCAAGAAGTTTGACAACGATCTAGAGTTTCCACATTATTGGACGGAAGTCATGTCACCGGTAACGAAGAAATATCTGCCGGTTGACCCGATCGTCAAGAATGTTATTGGTACCAACCGAGAGCTGATTGAGTCTCTGGAACCCCGCGGAGGCAAGGCAGACAAGGCCAAGGAAGTAATGGCGTACGTTGTCGGCTTCTCCCAAGATGGAACAGCAAAGGACGTCACCGTTCGTTATCTCAGAAAACAACTGTGGCCGGGAAGGACGAAGGGAGCAAGAATGCCTTTGGAGAAAGTACCTATTTACAATCGCCATGGCAAGGTAAAGCGACATGATCACTTTGACTGGTTCAAGTCTGCCATGCACGGATTCGTTAGGGGCAGTCGGAAATACCCCCTTACCGAGGAGGATGAGGCCGAGAACACAACTGACTTGACTCCGGCTCAACCCGAGAAGAAGGAGGTGAAGGAGGGCAGTGAGACCCTGGCTTATTACAAGCAGTCCAAGGAGTTTTGTCTGGAGCGACATCTCAAACGCGAAGAAGCACTCATACCCGGTTCAAAACCTGTCAAGACTTTTAGAAACAAAGGCAAAGGCGGGGACATATCGGAGGAGCCAGTTTTCTCGAGAAAGGACGTTGTCAATGTCAAGAGCGCAGAGACGTGGCATAAGCAAGGCAGAGCACCAAAGCCTGGTGAACTGCCCCTCAAGCGAGTGCCGTACCGCGCTGCCACAACTAACAGACGCCGAGAAATCGCGGAGGCGGAAGCCATTAGCGGCGAGAAGGTTCTTCAAGGACTGTACAGTCTTGAGCAGACGGACTGGATCATCCCGCCGCCTATCAAGGACGGCATCATCCCGAAGAACGATTATGGGTATGTTCGTCTCTATGTCTACGACATGCGTTGCTGACAGTTTCTAGCAACATTGATCTTTTCGCCGAGCACATGTGCCCCGAAGGTGCTGTCCACGTCCCTTTCCGAGGGGCCGTCAAGGTTTGCAAGAGGCTCGGCATCGACTACGCAGAAGCTGTGGTGGACTTTGAATTTGGACATCGAATGGCGGTTCCCGTCATTCAAGGTGTGGTCATTGCGGAGGAATACCACGACCAGGTTATGGAAGAGATCCGCAAAGACGAAGCTGAGCGAGCACGCAAGGAGGACGAGAAACGGCGCAAAGAGGCATTACGACTTTGGAGCAAGTTTATCAAAGGGTTGCGCATTGTCGAGCGCATTCGGCAGGATTACGGCCATGTCGATGACAGCGTTCCTGTTTTCCAGAAGCATGGCGGGAGCAAGGAAGCTAAGGAGGACCAGGACGAGTCATCTAAAGCGGATGCAGAGGCGATGCGGGTGCGAGATGAAGAGATGGCGGGCGGCTTTTTCCCTGAAGGGCATGACGAAGAGGAGGCAGGCGGCTTCTTTGCCGAAGGACACGAAGAAGAAGAGGCTGAGCCCAAGCGGCTTACGTCAGGGTTCTTTCCAGTCGTCAATGACGAAGATGGCGACGAGAATATGGACGATGCACTGGTTGTGGATCACGGTGGTGAAGATCAACCCATTGCGGAAAGCGCGGAAGGCGTGGAGGACGTCGCTGAAGAGGCTTCAGAACCAGAGCCTCTCCCCGCGCCTGTGAAGGCTAAACCACGGGCGAAGAAAGCAACGAAAGCTACGACCAGAAGATCGACCAGGCGCAGACGGAAGGTCGTTTCCGAAAGCGAGGAAGACGACGACGTAGATGAAGATTTCCAAGATTCGGACGACGATTATGTGTGACACAGCTCGGACGCAGTGTATCTTTGGCGAGCAAGAATCTAGGAGCGCACGGGATGGATGATTAGCAGCCGGCTTTGGGGCGCAAAGCTCCTTGGAGAATCCATATAAGCTAGCAATTGTTACACAATGAGGGTATGAAGACAGCCGTTTCGTGCTACCAATGGAAATTTCCAAGCTCAGTCTGGCTGGGTGTGCATGGAACAAGACATGTCATTCGTCGTCGCCAATAGAGAGCCGCCGCTCCCGATATGATTATGCTGAAATGCGTTGGCTTGCGGGGGCAGCAGTGGGATTGATTGACGACGTCGACAGTGCCCATACGGATTTGTGGCAGGTGACCATTTGAGACATGAAGATGACATGCCAGGGTGGTGCCATGCCCTTGCTGCGCTGTGAATCGCCTAACCCGGATACTTGGTTGATCATGTCGTTGCGGATTCATCGACTGTAGCTGCAGCTGGGAGAGATGATACAGCTGGCAAAAGCTGCACACGAAGTGGCTTCCGTCATGCTATGGCGTCGAAATAATTCTCGTGATTTGAAAGCCTACTGCGGAAGGTTACCGTCGATTCAAGGCATGTTGAATTGGATCTGGATAGTATCGATGTTAGTCAGATATCCTTCCGTCGACCATGGGTGTCAAAGGCAACAGGCCTGTCTCCAATCGAAGCCTCCTCCGCACCACCCAGTCCAGTTGCAGCGCGTTCAGTCGCCCAGGGCCCTCCCCTGCAAAGACCCGTGGATAGACGGCGCTAGGGCGTCCAGGGTGCTGCTCAGAGCGTTCGCGTTCCCAAATTCCCGGGGCATATTCGACGATCCACCGGCCCATCTAACCCTTTTTCTTTCTTTTTTTTTGTGTTCTTCCAACATCACCTCATATTCCCGCCCGCGATCCGGATGCGCATTTCGGCCGTTGCGCATCTGCGATTTAAATAAACAATAAGAAACGTGGTCGCCCGATGTAACCTGACATCTCTGGTAATCGACGAGCCAGCTGCAGATCGAACGAAGCATCGAGGCCGCGCGCATCTCCAGGAACGGGCCGGTACTTTTTTATGTTTCGAGGCGACCAGGAGACGGAGTCGGAGCCTTGCGGTTCTCACCTTAAGGTAGGGCGAGGCTGAAAGAGAAGACTACACTCGGGGCGCCGGAGTGTGAATTATTATTCCTGCCGTAATTCTTGCCTATTACTCGGCAGCAGGTCATTTTCCAAGACACATACCTACTTCCCAAGGTCGATTTTCGTTTGTCGGGTCCAAAGTCTTTCCTTCCACCCGCGCTTTCTCGACCTAAAGTCTGCATCGCAAAGGGAACACCGGCGCACTCCTCATTCAACTTCACTCGCGATCGCCTTGTATTGCCTTGCGCTGCCTTGGAACCTCTACGACTTGGATTCGCCTGAGGAAGCCACAACCGTCCCGCAAAGTTGCCTTGGCTCACCTTTTCTGTCTCTGCGGCTGCCTCCGTTCGTTCTCTGTTTGTTCCCTCACGACATCGCCTTTGACATTAGGAATACTTCTTCTTCGCAACAACGAGTTGACCGCCGTCATTCCATCGACGTCCATTCACTTGAGCCGCCGTTGATATTTCTCTCCGTTCTTTTGACCACCTCAGCCGTCTCACCAGCGCGACCTTCGACCTGCCACATCCACCTCGAGACCGACCTCGCCTCTGGCTTTTCTCCGAACCTTCATCACCGCCAAAATATCAGGCTCTCTCCCGCCTGTCTTTTCGACGACTTCCTCGTCCAGGTAAGTTGGCAATCTTTGTCTTCTTCAATATCACTGTCATTTTCTCCCTGGCGTGAACGTCCCACTCTCGCATCCGTCAGGGTCCGAACCTTCTTGCTCGGCCATGGCGTCGATGGCGCTGTCATACATCCACCTTACAAATATTGGAAAGGCGCAAGGGTTGAATATCGCATCTTTGTCATGTGCCCCAACGCAAAAGTATCTTTCCCATCTACCCCTCCCGAATATCATTTCTTGCGGCCATCTCCACGCCACCAGCGACATCCCCTCTACTCATAAACACCCCTTCGACATCCCTATTCGTTTGCTACCTGTGTGAGCCCTTCTCCAGCTCCAATACCTCAGAAGTTGTATCTCATTATTACCACCATGGGACTGGGATCAAGCCGGCCTATGAAGGGCGAGGCAGACGCTGACCGTCCACAGAGCAAAGACCTCGAGCCAAATTCGCGGCAACAGTCCAAACGACACGAACGACCACGATCCCAGACTCAGCCTCAACTGGTGTCTCCGAGTCCCGCTTCTCCGGATTTGTCGTCCGCCGTTGAACCTCTTCCACCCCCAGATCACCCGCCTCCCCCATTACAGCCACCACCGGTTCCTCCAGGCCGCTTAGGGAAGAACGGCTTGTTTGGCCAAGTTGCGCATCTGCGCTCTTATGTCGCCGATATCCAGTATACGCGCACCCTTCGTCGTTCGCCTGCACTTCGGCGCAATCACCGTGTTGCCAGACCTGCTGAACCGCGCCCTCAGCCCCCGAATCTAGCTCAGAGGCCAGTGCTCGCAGAGCCAACAATCGGGGAACATCCTCCCCCTAGACAGGACGAGCTTTCGACCGTACCAGAAACCAATGGTCCCGTAAAAGCGAGCCAACCAAAGCCTCGCAGTTATCGACAGATGGCAGACATCGAGGCCAACATCAAGAGCGACTGCGCAGCTCAGATCTTTGCCGTTTTCCCGGATATCTGCCCCGAGTACTTCGAGAAGACAGCCACAGAGCTTCTTTACGATGTCGGCAAGATCATCGAGGAGATTTTAGGCGCTTCCTCATATCCCAAGAAAGCCCGCTCAAAAAGTCTCAAGCGCAAACGCGAGTCTCCGGCAGAACAGGATGAGGTCTCCAAGATACGCCAACTTTACGACTTCGCCAATCGCCCTCCAGAGACAGCACAAGTCTACATTAGTATCTCGTAAGTTCTGATGTCATCCCCTTTGGAACCCAATCCGAATCCGATTTACCCAAAATCATGGCATTCAAACTGCTCGATGTAGGAAGATGTAGTGCTAATGACCGATGTAGGAAGAAAGTGCTCTCCCAAGACTTCCCGCGAGCTACTATCAAGAGTATCACGAAACTCCTAGAAGAGCACAACAAGTGTCTGATGCAGACATATCTCGCTTTGGATGAGATCACCCGCAACTGGAAATCAGGTAGAACTAAAGCGGGCTTCGAGTTCAAGAAAACCAGAACGCCACCTAATCCGGAGCTTGAGCCGGTGAATTTAGATGGGACTATCCGCGACTCAACAACTCCTGACAGGACAAGAGCTCTCGAGGAACTACGGGCTGCTCGGCAGGTATGCGAAGCAGAACAATCCAGGCGGAACTCGGCAAGGGCCAAAGTTCTCGAGGAAGAAAACAACTTCAAGCAAGCCCGGGAAGCAGGAACTATTGCTGAATGTGGCTGCTGCTTCGACGAACGACCACTGAACCGCATGGTTCACTGCGACAACCCGGACGCTGAGCACGTGAGTGGATACCATACACTTCTTGTGGAAGGTTGCAGACCTAACTTTGCTTTAGTATTTCTGCATCGCTTGCGCGCGAAAGTGCGCTGAGACAGCGATTGGACTTGCAAGATTTCAACTCAACTGTATGTCAATGGACGGCTGCAGTCATGACTTCTCTCATTCCCAGCGGGCGATCTTCCTCGACGACAAGCTGCAAGCAGCGCTTGACCGCATAGAATTTGAAGCAGCTCTACAAGCCCAAGGCTTCGAGAATCTCTCAGCATGTCCGTTCTGTCCATACGCCGCCGACTGCCCTCCAATTGAGGAGGACAAAGAGTTCAGGTGTGCCAACCCTGAATGCGAGATCGTCAGCTGCCGCCTATGTAAAGAAGAGACACATGTTCCCCGGACATGTGAGGAGGCCGCAGCCGAAAACGGTATATCGGAGCGTCGCAAAATCGAGGAGGCCATGTCTGAAGCCTTAATCCGCAAATGCAACAAATGTAGGTTTCCCAAGAGACGTAGCCGCGAGAGCTGATTGCTGATTTATGCAGGCGGCACTCCTTTTATCAAAGAGGAAGGCTGCAACAAGATGACTTGCACCAGACCAGGGTGCAGAAATGTGCAGTGCTATGTTTGCTCTAAATCCTGCGCATACGATCACTTTGACGACGCTGCCAGAGGGGGAAAGAAGGGAAACTGCCCCCTCTTCGAACAGACCGAAGTTCGCCACGAGAAAGAAGTTCGGCAGGCCGAGGAGGAAGCCCGCCAGAAGGTCTTAGCAGCCAAGCCCAAGTTGGACGAAGAGCTTCTCAAATTCAACATGTCTAAGCATGTCATGAAGGGGGAGAAGAAAACCCGAAGTAGGGCACACATTGAACGCGGTCCGCAAGTAGTCCAGCGTTGGCACGCAGGTGTCGATCCGGTCGGAGAAGCTATGAGACTGCATCTGGATCCAGAAGCCCATGCTGCTGAGCAAAGAATCCAGCCTCCAATGGCTGCTCAGCAGGCCGATTGGAACAATCGGCCAGGTCTTCATCAAGCCATCGCGCAAAACCCATTGCAGGCTCAGCCTCCTGAGCAGCTCAAGCCGGTTCGCCTGGCCAGACCAGCCCAGCCGGCCCAGCCAGCAATACAACAAGTGATGGCTCTACAACATGAAGCAAATGCAGTGCCTGGAGCTCAGAATCTTGCGGCTGGTGGTCCACAAATCGCGGCGTCCTACAATCCTGTGGTTCCTAGGTATCCGTCAAAGGTGCCTTTGCCGATTCAGCAACCGCTTTTACCAGAGCCGATTCCCCCAGCAGCGTATCAGTTTCAGGCTGGCAACAATGGTAATCAGTCTGCCCAGCAGAGACAGCCACTCGCGCAACACCATGTGGTTTGGCCACACCGTGACGGATACAATACTGGAAGGCAGGTACCGAACGCAGCGGCCAGAGCCGCTCCGCAGGCAGTGAATGGTCTTTTCGGGGTTCCTGATGCCGTCGCCAACAACAACTGGAATCAACTGAATATG